CTCGCAGGTGATTGGCGTTGAGACGGAAAAGTGAGGATATGCCAGTGCCCAAAAAACCATGCTATGATTATCCAGTCTATTGGAGAAGTGAGTTTAGTTGAATAGGTTCAGTTTCTTCTCATAACAAGGTCGTTGGCTACCGTACGGGATGTGTGTAACCCTCTGAATATTTTCCAACAGGTCTCGGTGACGTAGCGTTGGATACTAAACAGGTCCAGCAAATTCGATAATTGGCCTAACATATGATGTGTACAGGAGCCCAGCAGTAGAACTGTCACAGATCTTAAATCTTTCAATCAGTTATAGACTCCCTTTGGCCCTAGTCGTTGAGTGTTGGATATGCTCGGACCGTAATAGTCTATCCGATACAACAACTCCTAAATCTATGTGTCTGGGGACAGAGGAAATTTCCTCGTTCCCGATGATTTAGCTGATCTTATGATTGTTCTTTCCAACGCGTGGAACACAGCACTTCTCCAAGTTGAGGGAATGCTGCCATCTTCTGGACCATTCGTAAATATTATCAAGGTCGCGTTGGAGGATGTTTTCATAAGCACTGAGGACATTGCATATCTTTGTGTCGTCTGCATACAAGGAGCAAGTGGAAGACATGACAAGGCAGGTCCCGTCGCCCTACTGGTTGACATTAAGTTGCAATTATGGGAAGATAGATTTTTGCATTGTATTTATCACCTTTCTTGAAAATTACTAAATACAGCAGACGCTCGATAATGTAAACTAATTTAATCCAAGTGTGGTTCACATTATCGAAATGTTTACATTAGCAAACGTGATTTATATAATATTTGATTTATTCAAATAAACGTTTAATACATACTATTTATAACAAAATAAACAAATATTCTAACAGCGATAAGTATTTTTTTAATTAGAAGAAAAATAATTAACAATTTTTGTCTGCGTAAATTTGCGCTTAGCATTGTCTTCCAACGCCTGCGCCCGTAATTTACGAAGAACTAAAATATCCGTGTATGAAACTTCTTTTCTTTCAGCCCAATCTAAAGCTTGGTTAAAAACTTGTATAGCTTGCGCGTCAGTCACTACACTTCTGACTTCAATGGGATCGTTCTCATCATCCTCACTGTCCATATCCTCCTCCTTATCAGCATCATTCGTCTGCTTGTCTTCGTTTCATAAATTAATATCAGCAGGAGTACAAACAATGTTGGGATTCACTGTTTTCAATAAATCAACAACATCCAATGACACACTAATAACATTATCATTATTGGATCGCAAACGTTCTCTAATTACGCTTAAGGGGACATCGTTTTCTTCATCATCTTCATTATTGCTACGAAAGAGATTGTTCCACCTTTTTTGAATAGTTTGCAGGTTAAGTTCATTCCAGGCCATATGTAAATCTAAAACAGCTTCTCGTAATGTTACTTTTTTTAAAGCCTGAAATAAGTTTTCAGGATTCTTTGATAAGACAGACGAAAGTAGAAACTTCCTATAGTATAGTTTGGTGAGTCTTATTATATTCTGGTCCATCGGTTGAATTAACGGTGTTACGTTGGGCGGCATGTACATGACGAAAATTGACCCATCCCTGCTCCTCAGTTGTTGCTCGGGAGGATGACTTGGTGCATTATCCAATAGTAACAACGCTTTTATTGGAAGCTTCTGTTGTTTTAGGAAACCTCTTACCTACAAATTGAAAACACATCTTCAAATTATGAATAGAGCATTTGTGATAATTGATTGTCATACCTGAGGGACAAAGCACCTGTGGAACCATTTCAGGAATATACTGCTAGTCATCCAAGCGGTTTTTGAACAGTCATAATCAACAGGGATATTAACATTTTTAAATGAGCGCGGATTTTTTGTTTTCCCAATTACCAGTGGCTTTATTTTGTGTGAACCATTAGCATTAGTGCAGGCTAGAAACGTTATTCGTTGTTTCTCCGGCTTTCTTCCCGGGGCAGATTTTTCAAATGATGCAGCATAGGTTTTCTCTGGTAACATTTTCCAATAAAGGCCACCTTCATCTGCGTTGTAAATTTGTTCCATTCTTAAATCTATCTCGGTAATTGTTTTCATCAATTTCTCTTTGAATGGTTGCACTAATTGTGGTTGTGGTGATAATTTTTCACCAGATATAGACAGCAGTCGAATTCCATATCTTGTTTTGAAACGTTGTAGCCAGCCATCACTAGCTACGAAATTTTCTTTCAGTTTTTCATTTAACAGTCTCGCTCTCTGTTTAAGTACTTCGCCACTAACTGGGACATGATTTTCCCGTTGTTTTAAAAACCACTTATACAGGGAATTTTCCATTTTAGGTGCCTTCGCATTTTTTAAAGTTTTTCTTTTTCCCGGACCTCCAAATGTATTGCACGTTCTTTGTAAAATTTGAGTTTTCATACGCTTAATTTTACAGATTGTTGCTTTCGATACTCCATATTTTTTTGCTAACTGTGTCACTCCCGCACCTAGTGCAACTTCGTCTATGATTTTCACTTTCTCACTCAACTTTAAACACTTTCCTCTATAGGATGTGGATGCCATAGTCGTAAAGTATATTAACGCGTGCAATGTATTCACTTAAGTTCAAAAATGAAATACATACGTACGTATAAACGTATCCTAAACGATCATACGACTGACCGAGTTTGTCGTATTTTATCGCAGAGGTGAATCCCCTACACTCTACATCATAAATCGGGGACTCCCCGACGCCCGACATAAATCATCGAGGCTTCAGCATTTTACCGTCGCGCTGTTTCCGTGGGCCGAGAGTTGTTTACGTTATCGAGCCTACACATTGTTTACGTTATCGCGCGTTCCATTTGATCCTATAGGACGAAGTTTGTGTTTACATTAGCGAAAGTTTTCATTAACCCGTGTTTACGTTATCGAGCCTCTGCTGTATTTTGAAAACTTCTTATTTTGCAAAAAGGTTTCATGTTGCTTAAGTTTAATATTTTCTCATTTACCACAAAAAAAAATTTCTGACTAGCATATCTTCAGAAACTTATCAAAAAAGGGTAGGTAATTCAAAAGTTTCGATTTCTCAGATCTGAAAGTCGTACATAGCTTTAATTAATAAAATAGAAAAATATATTTGCAAAACATGCGTTTATTCACCTGTTCATATATGGTATCTGGAGGCATGTTTCTGAAACAGGTGTCCCGCTTTTGACCCATATTTCAAAGTTGATTTTTCTTAAATGGAATGTCCTACCTTTTATTACACATTCGGATAAATCCTTTTAAAAGAACAAGATTGATATTTCATACAACATATTAACGCGAGTCTACTCCTTCACAAAAAATTTAATTCAAAAAATTAAATACGTTTTCATAACTATTTGTTTAAAAAAATTGATGTTTCTCTGTTCAAACAAGTCACATCATTTATGAAAACACAAACAAGTAAGGGATTGTCGACAATCTGTAAGCTAACAAAGCTTTTTTGTTGTAATGCATTACTGCAGATTGGTATTATAAGACAACAAATGACCTATACAACGAAACAAAATTATTTGATATCAAACAATGTTATTTCTTAGGACAGTATCGTCAGTCGTTCCTACAATAATTATAGGACGCCTTTATGGCCTCCTTGATGTTCATAATGTTTTCCGTTCCGTGTCTCTGAATGAGAGAAAAGGATATGGAAATCAAGGAGGCCATAAGCGCGTCCTACGATTGACGATGCGGCCCTTATATACAATCAGCCTTTATCACAGTCAGTGAGTGTGATAAAATCACAGAGTGCCATGATACTCGAGATAAATTACCTGCAAAAACTGTCTCTAAACCTCATAAGACCACAATGAAGCGATCTTTTCTATATTTTGCACACATACACATAATTTTAAAAAGAAATAATCAAAATGGATATGCTCAATAGGAAGACAGCATATTATTGAACTCCCAACAAATTTTCATTAAAAGTTATCGTCTTCTACATACAGTACCAAGCAAAAGTGGAGAAAGATTTAATTTTTTTTTAAGATTTTATTAAACTATTAAAGTAAACTAAACACTTATGTTTTATTATAACTTAATGTAACATGTAATTCCAAGCCAACATGAAAATAAAATGTCTGCCTTAATAAAACTATGCTAACAATTATTATTAGAAAATACAGCGAACAAAAATAGAGAAACATAATATACAAAGCAATTTTCGTATACAAAAAAGCTAATACTTGGTTGCATAACCTTTATTTTTGATAACTGCTAGACATCTTTTTCTCATAGTACAAATTTAGGGTATCTATTATTTCTTTTGCAATATAATTCCAGGCGACTTCGATTGATTCAAATAGTTCGGCACTATTTTTGAACTTCTCTGGATGTTCAGTCCGAATTTTTTATCAACTAAATCCCATAGGTTCTCTATGGGGTTAAGGTCTAGACTCTGAGCTGGCCACTTAATGACATTAATATTGTGATCTGCAAAAAATGTTTTTATTATTTTCGCTGAGTGCTTGGTGTCGATGTGGTACCGGTCCATAATTCCTTCAATTTTGACGATGGGTCCGATTTGAAGACCGCAGAAGCAACCCGATACTTGAACCTTGTTTGATTGTGCCTAAAGTGAACTTAGGATCAAATCGCTTGTTTTTAGGACGTCTTACCTATAAAATGCCATCCGATGAAAATAAATTAAATTTACTTTCATCAGAAAATAATACAGAATTCCACCTTGTTTCTGACCAGTTCAAATGATCGTAAGCAAATTGAAGACGGATGGTCCGATTTTTCTTGGAATTAAAGGGTTTTTTAGATGGTCTCCTTGCTCGTAGATCACTCTTCCTTAAACGTCTTCGAACAGTATGGACACCAATATTTATTTCTTCAAGCTGCGCTTTTATGTCGACACCAGTAGTAAATGGATTTTTAAGAGCAAGTGTTTTAATTTTCCTATCAATCCTTGGTGTGGTTTTTCGCGGTCTACCAGTCTTAGGAGGGCTTACCAACGATTTTCTGAGGTGGAACAGCTTAATAGTTTTGCAAATTACCGATCGGCTTGAATTCAGCTGTTTGGCTATGGTTGCTTGTTTAATGCCTGATCGATATTTTAAAATAATTAATTCCTTTATTCGCAAATTCAATGTAATTGCCTGATCGATATTTTAAAATAATTAATTCCTTTATTCGCAAATTTAATGTAATTCCTCTGGTCATGTTTTTGAACTACAGTGTACCAAATTCACTCATAAATAACACCTATTCTAATCAACGACTAAATATAAACTAAATATTTACAAAATGTTTCTCTACTTTTGCTCGTTGAACAAAAAACTGACCATGTTATATTGAAAAAAAAGAATGTATACATACATAAAAAAACTTTAGTGGACAGTTTTGGGTTAGAGTATATCTTTTTAGATTTTTATTTGTAATGTGGTTTGTGTTTCTACTTTTGCTCAGTACTGTATACACTTCTTCGATTTAAGATTCTTTAAACCTTTTCGTTTTGTTTTTGAAATGTCACACGTTTCAGCATACAACTTGTAACGGTTTCACCGTCCGATCGTATTTATTAAATCACTTCTCGATTATCATTTCATTAATCCCATCTCTAGCTTTTTCACTTGGAAAATTTTCCGCTTGGAGCGCTTGATGCGGAGTTCCTGATCTGCGATCTTCCTCGCGCTTCCTTTTGACTTGAGCCGCCGATCGAACAAGAGCTAAGAATTTTCTTCTCTGTAGCACAAGGTCATATAGCACCATGTGCTAGAATTTTGTAGAATGTGTGTCCGTATAGGACAAAATGATTGGGGCCACCCTCTTTCTCTTTCTCTTTTTCTTTCCCTTTCTCTTTCTCTCTCCCTTTTGCCTTAGTCTTTGACTTTGCGTTGCTTGGCCTATCACTTCACCCATGCATGTGCCTTGGCAGCGCCATCGCCTTTAAGTTCAACTTCGCCTACAACTGGTTATGAAGCCACTACATGTGAGGTCACCCCTCATAACTGGGACTTCCACTTCAAGCACCTGGCCATCCTCGCTTCAGTCGAGTCAAAATGGACCAGCGAAAGATAAGTTGATAGTTTTATAGCAGCGCCAAAGATGTAAAACTTATTTTGTTCTTTAAAACTTTAAAATTGTAATGTAATGAAAATGCTTTTTTGTTAAATAAAATCTGTTAAATTTTTGTGTTCTGTTTGTTCTTCTATCCTCTAGCCATGCCATGGTCGACACACAGCTACACGCCTGTAGATGTCTTCATGCCACCGACTGAGCTACCGGAAGCTAATGGTAACCACCTTTCTGTGATTGTGCATAAAAGTTGGAATCTTCATTGCATTCCATCTTTTCTGGACTTTTTGCGGAAAGGAAGCGTTACAAACTGACCCATGTACAGACATTGCCCTTCTGTAGATAAATCATTCAAATATGTATTTACCCATTTTATATTATTATTATTGTTGTTCTATTATGGAACAAATAAATTTCTACTACTGTCTACCACTACTCTGATGATCTAAATAAATCACATTATCAAACAAGCACCTAATGACACGACAATCGCCGAACTAACAAACATACAGGTGAACAGATTAGGCGTGGTAACGCAATAGCTATTAAGAACCGAAAATGCCTGTAAACATCAGTCGAGACTCACAAGAGATTTGTTCTTGTAATCATCTCCGTTAAAAATAGAGCAGGCCATTATGAACACTTTCTAAAATATCCCCAGACAGTCGCTATTTTAGGAAGGCGCCTCTTGCCTTCTCGTTACTCACTGGAACTTAATTAATTACCTTCTTCAATGAGTTTCCGAAGATCTCCTACCGGGGAAATTGATTTCCCTTTCTGGAACACTGACGTCGAGTATGCATCAAGTGGAGCTTTGTAGGTCGTAAAGATCAATCTTTAGCCACAGATCGGTGTCGTTGAGTACCGCGATTAGCAAAAACGTTGTTTTCGTACGTTCGGTGATGTTTTCAAAATGACACATAGCCAAAAGTCAAAGACTTTGTTATAAGATTTTATCTAACTTGTCCAGTTTGTATGTTTGTGTGTATGTGTGCGACAAATGTTGGAAGTGAATTGTGAACCAGTTAGCCTCAACCAATTGAGATGAAATTTTAAACACACCTTTGGTCTGCCGCCTTTTTGAATCCAATATGGCGCATGCTACAAAATGGCGATTCATCATTTCTATAGTAACCCGTATGATATCAAAGAGGGCCTTCTAAATCCAATACCCTACGACATGGGTATCAAATGTAAGAGTTTGGTGAGTGAAACACAATAGACATAGTGATGCCATTTTAAAATCAATACCGCGAAATGGCAATTTATAATTTCCACAGTCACTCTTATACTATGACGATTAAATGAAAAGACTCGATGATAGAAACATAATAAGGAAAGTGACGTCATTCTAAATTCAATATGGCGATCGTCGCAAAGTGGCAATTCACATATTTCATAGTCGCCCCTACGACATGGATATCAAATGTAAGGACTTGATGAGAGAAACACAATAAGCATAGTGACGCCATTCTGAACTCAATATGGCGGCCACCGTGAAATGCGACTTATAATTTTCATAGTCACTCGTATACTATGAGGATCAAAAGGCTCGGCTCGATGAAAGAAACATAATAAGCAAAATGGCGTATTTCTGAGTCCAATATTATATACATATTTCATAGTCACCCTTACGACATGGGTATCAAATGGAAGGTCTTGGTGAGAGACGTAATAGGCATAGTGATGCCATTTTAAAATCAATATGGCGGCTACCCCATAATGGCAACTTATAATTTCCATAGTCAAGCATCAAATGAAACGGCTCGATGAAAGAAACATATACTAAGTGACATATAAATCCGTACACCCAGTTTAAATGGTTTTACTTTAATAAAATTTTGTATAAGTACTTAATGAAGCATAATAAGTAAATGATAAAAATTTCAAAATGATTGCACTGCTTTAAAGCCCTTTGACCTTTAATAATGTGTGGATGCACCCTGATGTGCTACGCATTCTCCAACGCGCCTAGGCATGCTTCTGATCAGGTGGTCAATGTCCTCCTGTGGTATCTCATTCCAGGCAACCACCAACTCCTCTCGAAGTGCTTCTAGAGTCTGAGGAGGACGTTGCAAATTGAGCAATCTCCTACCCATCATATCCCACACGTGCTCAATTGGGGATAAGTCGGGAGATCTTGGTGGCCATGGTAACAATGTGACATCATTATGTTGAAAGAAGTCTATTGTGACTCTTGCAACATGTGGTCGGGCATTATCTTGTTGGAAAGTTGGATCTGCCAGGGTGTCAAGATAGGGTAAAAGATGGGGTTCTAGAACTTCGTGGATATAACGCTGCGCGTTCATGTTACCTCTGATGAAGATTAAAGGTGACCTGGAACCATAAGCTATAGCACCCCAAACCATAACTCCAACAGTGTGATGAACATGTCTTTCAACAAAAAACTGTGGATTCCTCCTTTCACCACGTCGCCTTCTAACCCTAGCACGACCATCGTGCATGCTTAAACAAAATCGAGACTCGTCACTAAAGACAATACTGTTCCATTCCTGATCCCAGAGTGACCGTTGTCTGCACCACTCAAGGCGATTACGTCGGTGTTCTCGAGTTAAAGGGAGGACCCAGTGTGGCCGATATGAAAACAAGCCAAAACATCTCATTCGTCGGTAAATACTTCGCATGCCAATAGGTCTTCCGTGTTCTGCAAACCATTCATTTGCAATGGCCCTGGTAGTGGAGAAACGGTCCCTTAAGGCCAATAATCTTAGGCGGCGATCTTCAAGGTCTGTTGTTCTACGGCGGCGTCCAGTGCCCCTTGCTCTTTGCGTACGGCCTTCTCGAAGCCATGCCTGACAACACCTAACCACAGTGTCTACACTTCTTTGCACTCTAACTGCAATTGCCCGAAAAGAAAGTCCAGCTTCCCGAAGTCCCACTATACGGCCCCTATCAAACTGACTAAGTTGACGAAATCGTACAGGTCTCCGTACTCTAGGCATCGTAACCGATCGTAAAGGATGTCAAGAACCAAAATCCGCCAACGTTGATTCTTTACTGCGGCTGAAATATTCATTTTTAGAGCGTTAGTGAATTAAAAAAAAGCAGTATAAAAACCGGAATGTCCAACTGATAAGACTGAACATTTTTTCACTTGTTATTTACAGTAAGATAAATACATTCACCAACTTTTATTAAAATAAAACCATTTAAACTGGGTGTTCGGATTTATATGTCACTTAGTATATTACCCAAACTTCCTCATTCAAGATTGATTTCACTCCAGGGTAAGGATAGGGACAATCTACTTGAACGCCCGTTACGAGATCCAATCGCCTAATACAAATAGGGAAAGCTTCTGTATCGAACTTTGACCAAATACTTAGATCTACATGATAAACGGGATCAGATACATATGAGACGACTTCGCAAAATACGTACAATAAAGAGAATGTGAACCTCATATTTTTATTTATCATTTTACAAAAAAGGCGAAATATTGGTAATCCCTAGGCTTAACAAAAAGAGGCACAGTAAAAGTCCGTAACTCAAAAGTTTTTTTGTTGAAAGTAGCGCGTGTCTAATTTGTACGTGATTTAATATTAACTGGTAGAATAAATTCAAGATACTCAAACGAACGAGTTCGAAAGCGCACAACACCGCTGCTCGAACTGTGAACAAAATTGAATCAAACATTACAGTTTTCAAATTCCTAAATTGATTTTTGGTATAAATTTAAAATAATAATAATAAATCGTCTTTATTTAGGGGGCGAAGTTTAGCATAATGCTATTCTGCCACTTATCCCCAAAAAAAAAGAAAAACTGAAAAAAACAATACAAAAAACATAAATTCATTTGATAAGTTAGAAGTTTGAAAATGTAGGTGTATAAAAAATATGATGTATATAAAATATATAAGTGAAGGTGATTCAATATTTCATGATTTAAAAGTATAAAATTGTAACAGTTATACAAAACAAAGAAATGCTATATTGGAAATATTTTTGTGTGAGGTGACAGATAAATTTTATCAACTAATTTATAAACTTCTATTCAAAATAAA